CCCCCACCTTATCACCTGAATCTCCTCCTAGACAAACATCGATGAGACAGTTAATTAATGTACTTATTGCAGCAGTCTGCATAGATTTGGTACCCCTGGTCCAAGAGTGAAACAAACTAATTCAGTTATTGTTCAGTTAAAATGCATTCAATTAGGCCTATGTCTGCCATCTTATATATTTCTATTTAAGGCTTTACTGATGTGACACAATCATGTCACCTATGTTATTGAGTTAAAATGTCAATATTTTGGCTTTCCAAGTCAACATTGATTGATATGACTGCGATTAAATCCGCATATACTTCTGCCAGGGGATGCCATCCCTCAAAATCTCCTGCCACCCCTGAGTAGGCTATATTTTTCGTTTCGGAGAGAGAGAGAGAGAGAGGTTGCTCAAGCCTTTATGCAACTTAGGCCTATACATTGTTACTTCAATGCCTGTGTGTCCATGGTTTTGAGTCTGTGTGTGTTGAGCGCAGCACCGTCTGCTTTTTGCAGTACAGTAACTAAAGTAGGACTAAGCATAGCAGTAGATTTTTGTAGACCTGTCTGCCTGTTTTGTGAGTGCACTGCGTGCGTGTGCACTTGTGGCATTGTTTGGGATGACCTCATTAAAATACCGTCCGCCATCCTCTTTGAGAAACATACACAACGCAGACAGACACGGGTCACAAAAGTATCAGATAGGCTTCAATTTTCTTTTGATTATCTATAATTAACTATAAAAAATATAGCCGTTTTAACACTACGTTTATATATGTACTTTTACGGTTTGCATATGAGGTGGTCCGCGAAAATCCTTGATAATAAATAGTGGTCCAAATAAACAAAAAGTTTGAGAACCCCTGTCCTAGAGCACCATTGTGTTCTTTTAACTAAACACTTTTCCGAGGGGCATGGCCAGCAGCAGCTCATTAGCATTTAAAGCTACAGACAAGAAATCCACACTTTTGGAACAGAACTGAAACAGAGGCAGGGCTCGACAGTAACGGTTGCCAGTGGCAACCTTTCAGAAAAAATGTCAACCACTTCTTGGCCTTTGGTTGCCATCAGCCACTTTTTAACATGAAGATATAAGGACAGCAAACAGCTACATGTGCACCCCAAAATAGATAAATGTTAATTATTTGTTGTATTAAGAGTGATATTTAATTATTGTTGTGACCAGTCGGAACCTGATACTTAAGTTGCACGTGCATTGGTGTGACTACGGAGCCAGAAAGCGATGCACGTTTACTCGTGTGCGCGGTGCGCCGTGTGTTCTTTTTACAAAAAATGGCTAAGCAAATTAAGTTGTTTGACTGTGGGGTAAAAGTGGCCCAAAACCCGTCAACATCTCAAACGAATGTTCAAAGTGATTCAACTGATAAAGCGCATGTTGAAACCGAACGAAAAGCAAAGAGGAAATGTGTAAAGTCTTGGGAGGCGAAATATATACATTCTGCTCCATTGTGCATACACTTCCGGTAAAAGTTCCTTCAAAATAAGAGTCCAGATCTTATTACTACCAAAATAAAAGTGCAAAACGAAACTTTACCATAGGAAAATATTGGCATATAATTATAATCACTTCTATAAAAAGGTAACACATTTTAAATATAGTTAGACATATTAACGGTAATTTCCAGCATTAATAATTAATATCTAATTCTTAACTGTGAATGGTTTTCATTTATTTAACATTAGAAATGTAATAGTCTGGCCAATCCAAGACTTCAATGCTGAACGGACAATGGATCTATGGTGGGGTCAGCAGAAAGGTCAAGAAAACCCAAATTTGAAAGGGAGACAACGGATGACCAAGAAACTAGTGATCTGTGAAGAACATGACAACAGCTGCACTACTGGTATTTAGTATACCAGCAATTTAGGGTGGGCAAGTTTACTACCACTTTAATTTCAACTAATTGTGTTAATTACTTATTGTAAAGCATTTGAACATTCTTTTGTGTCACATGTTCATTATTAAGTTGATGTATAACTGTATAGTATCTTAATTATTTAAAATATAAGGTGACTAAAAATGGCAACCTTATTTTCAGTTTTGGCAGCTCAACCCCTGCCTAGTAAGCCGGTTCGAGTCCCGACCCAGACAAATATTTCAGGCAATGTCCTCCCCCCTTTCAATTCTAAGATCTCCAATAAAGGCTCTCTGGCCCAAAAATATGTTAAACATAATAGAAGCTGTATCTTTTTTTTCCTAAAAATGTAAAGAAACAACCACACGCAAAAAGGGTCTCTGCTAATGAGAAATTGAAATCTAACAGTCAGTTTGTTGAGTAGTAATATTTAAAAAGCATGAACCTTATGTTTGATTTTCTAATATGATTGATCGTAAAGGTAACTTGTTTTTTTATTTCACAGGTGGAAGAAGAGAAGAAAAGGAAGAAGGAAGAAGCTGCAAAGAAGAAACAGGAACAAGAGGTCACTTAGATGCTTCCATTAAGGAAAGTGTTGTTTCCCTAATCGTGAACAAGTTCACGTACTCATGTCTTTTGTTTCTGTTTCAGATGGCTAAACTGGCGAAGATGAAGGTCCCTCCATGTGAAATGTTTCGCTCAGAAACCGACAAGTATTCAAAATTCGATGAAACGGTAAGTCCCTCTTGCACAAAAGAAATAAAGCATAATACTTGGCTTTTTCACATATACAAATAATAATGTCAAATAGTTATTATTTATCCTATGTGTTGACCTGTTGTGTCCACCAAAAGCTGTGTATTGCTCTATTTAAGTAGAGGTAGCACAAGGAAAGAAATTGATTTAAGTTTTTTTGCAGATTTTTCAAAATTTGGGTGAAATGTTTGCTACATTGAGAAGGAAACTAATCAGAATGAAGTTGATATGTGTTCCTGTGTTCTTGTTTCTGTCAACAGGGTTTCCCCACTCACGATGTAGAAGGGAAGGAGCTGAGCAAAGGACAAGCCAAGAAGCTGCGAAAGTTCTTCGACGCTCAGGAGAAATTACACAACGATTATCTTCAGATGAACCAAAATGGCAACTGATAATGTTTACATACTGCCCAAGACATCCAGGCTAAAGAAAACCTAGAGAATAAATGTTTAGGGTCATCTTTTCTCTACTCTCCATCTGTTTTGGATCAGAAAACAAATACGGTTTTTCATTTGCAGCACTTCATTACCAAAGTCCATGTATAGCTTTTCAAAATAAAAGGGGGAAAAGAAGAGCATTCGAGGAGACAGAGGTCCTTTATACATAGATTATGTTTTTGATTGAAACTCTGTAACACTGCCAGTCGTTTGAAGGATTAAATAGATTGTTAGCTGTATGATTTAACTTTGAATTTCGAAATGAACTACAAATTAATGGATGTAGGAAATTGGGATACATCTACACTATGTAAAGATGGACGAAGAAAACATGAATTTCCAAGTTTCTGGACTCTACTGGAGTGTTGAACATCATTCTTTCAATTTGTGCTTAGATTTCCATAGATGTACCTAGGATACTTGATGTATTTTAAAAATTAACTTCAATTGCATTTGGGGCATTCCTTGTTTCAGTTACATATTCTCTGAGTTTACTGCATTTGTACAGTCTTAAAGGATACAATTGTTGTGTTCTATACTTGTTTTGTGTCAATAATTCCCATGAAAAGACCTAAAATAACAACATGTTTGCCTATCTTTCCATACTTTACCGACTGGAAATGTAAATCATTCAAAAACATATAGTTTTCTTTCCTAAAAATGTTTCCTAAAATAACTCGAACAAAAGGAAATTGTGCATTTGTTAGGGACTATTTTATTAGCGGTGGATAAATTGACATACAAGGTAGCGCTGTGCCACAGGGCAATAACACAGTAGATATTTTCCTATTTGAAGGATCAATTTATTGTTGGTCTTTTCATGTGCTTTGTTGACAAATAGAGAAATATAGAATATCAACAGACTTATCAGCAACCTATTTCTCATCATTCTGGAAAGATACAGCTTCTCACACCCTCTTAGTGTGATCTCTCATGGCTTGAGTGACACCCCACAAAGAGGAGCTTTTTATTATTCAACCGTCCATTAGGGTCATGCATTGTTGTACTGTTTGTGTATTGCAATTCCATGGTTGTGTGAATGAACAAATAAAGAGGCAGAGAGCGCTACTGATTTTCTTTCAAGAAATAAAATGGATCATTCTTGTAAACGCTTGTTACTTCAAGGATTTTGGCTTTCATCATGAAACTCCTATCAGAAAGAGAATTTAAAGTGGCCCTGTTATTCAATTTGGGGTTTTCCCTTTCCTGTAGTGTGTTCTATAGGTTTCTGTGCATGTAAATGTTCTGCAAAGGCTACAATCCCAAAGTTTCTTTAACCCTCTTGTTGTCTTCGGGTCTAATCTGACCGATTTACAACTTTCATCAATCATAACTTTTTTGTTTTACATTTGATTGATTTGATATCCTTCACAGTAGACATTTGAAAATATACAATTGCTGATCACCACTTTCATTGAGTTTTGGATGATTTAGTCAACTTTGTAACACCCATGGTGTTCCCGGTCAAAAATTACCGCCATAAAGAAAAGGAATTAGTAACCATCCGGATCAGATAAAACACCCACACACCAACACACACATACTCTAGTCTAGATGTCGTTCCCCCCCCCCCACTTATGTGCCCAATCCCCCCATGCGAATCACACCTGGCACACACAGAACAATTTGACCGAATAGGAGGGTTAAAACTGGGCTCTGGTTTCAGACAGAGGGTGAAAAGAGGTGCTGCAGCACAGGCAGTATGAGAAAAAGAAAGATATTTTTGACCTAATTTTAAAACATGTCACAGCAGACAGAGACATAAAATACAAATATGAACTTGAAAATGAGCATAATAGGGACCCTTTAATACTTTTTTAAATGGCCAAGAGAAATGGATCAAAGATGTTTTTTTACTATAATATCATGCAGAATGAGACTTCAAAAAGTCTTACAAACTGTCTTGTTTTTTAATCAGTGTGTATGTTCTCCAAAATGTAGGATACAGTATGGACTAATACTGATGTAGCAATTTTGCTGCACAACCATAATAAAAAACAGGGAGCAGGTGGAGGTATTTATCCTGTAATCTCAAAGTGCACCTATTGGTCCGACAAATATTTGGAGTTGGTTTGCAGAGGAGATAGTTTGGGAAAAAAGGCCAGATGGACAGCTTTTATTTTTTAAATGTATTCGTATATACGTGTATACGGAGCCAAATATTTGCATTGCTAAATGAAAAGGGCAGGAAGTGGTCCTCTTTATTGTTTCTGAATAATCTGGCCTCATCCTAAGTGAAAAAAAAGCTTCTTTTTTTTAAGTTCAACTCTTCCTTTAAGTGAATGCACTTGTTATATTCATAATGGACATGGATATTGTAGAAAGTGTACAGTATGGTGACTATCCCCCTCTGTCTCATAGGCAGGTTTTTATTGAGCTTTTGATTTCTGTCTCATAGTTTGTAATCTTTTGTGTGGTGAACCATGCAGTGTGTCGTG